CGTTTTAAATGTGATTGAAATGTTCGGGGCTAAAAATCAAAACGACAGTCAAACCGTTACTGCATGATTTTGTCTCTCCATTCTTTCATACCAGTGTGCGTCAGCATTAACCTTTGGTTGCTATGGTCCAGGTACTTCATCACTATTATTACAAATGAATTTGAATTAAAACTACGCACAATTATGGTTATTTGTATTGTATTAATTGATGGTGGGGTTTTTTAAACAATTTTGAAAAAAGAAAATATCAGAAGGGAAACTGCTGGGCCATACATTCCATAAAAATTGCATTATTCGGAAACCCTTATTTTAATAGAACACTAAAAGAATGTCCTGGGTTAATTTTAACATTGGTCTAAAACACGCTTTAATTACAAATACATTAAAGCAGTATTTCTGCTCGCTGTTCGCTTTATTTGTTTGTTTTTTTTATAGTACATATTGCTGGATTGCGATCATACGTGTTTAGTTCACAAGACATCAGCAAACTAACTTGCAATTCTGAACTGAGGAAACATTTTGTCTTAATGTGTGAACAACAGTTTTTAAACTTATATGAATTCAGATGATACTATCATATCTACCCACACCCAGCATGACATTTTTTTAATTAAATATTTTCCCGTACCTCGTGACTGTGAACTCATCACATTTGATGCCTTGCGCCGAAGCGCATTCACAGGTATTCATAAAAATTTAACCGACTTTTTCAAGAGGAACTCATAGGATCATGGCAGGATAAATAATGACGATTATAATGAAAAAAATTGCCATCTGTTTTCGTATGTTGCTAAACGTCTCTTATATCATAATGATAATCAATTAATTTTGTATAGTGTAATATATTGTTGATTATTTTAACTGGGGGAAGGCTCCCCTAAAGAACACTAACAAGGAAAATACTTGAAGAATGATAAGAATTGAATTTTGTGACAAGCGCAGGACTAAAAACAATCTCCCCCTAAAATGGAAAGCACCGGAAAACGCTTTTGCAGAAATCGAACAAAACGTAGCACTTCGTGTACGTGACAGTGTGTATGTGTACTGCTGCTTTATGCTTCTCGCGAGAAGTGGCGCAGAATTCCTTTCTCTGCCTTTCGTCGGCGCCATTGGAGACTGGAAGCCACTTTCGCGAGGGGACGCCCACCCGCGCGTTTACATCGGGCGGCGCTGCGCTCACTCCGACGCTACGTACCGGCTACTCGCCAGCTGCTGTTCAAGCACGTTCCGGGTGCGCGCTCCGCCGCCCTCTCTGAAAGGCGCGCTACCAACCGCTCAATCTGAAACGGGGTGCATCAAACGACAATCCCTTTCGAAATGAGCTGCTTCTTCCCTGCCTAATGGACTACAATCCGGGGAGCACGTCTGTCAGATTGAAAGAAATTAGATACTTATTTAATAACAATTTAGAGCAACTAACCGATGCAACTAAAAGACGCAAAGTAACTACTCTATATTTAACAATGACAACTCTCATGCTCACTTTAATCCACATATTGGATTGGTAATACCCATTGTACGCAACCCCTCGTACAGATATTTGTCACTTCAGACTTCTGTGTTAAAAATGACTACCACATCTCTGATCAGGTTTTCTCGTCCCACACAGTTATTCTATCCTGATTCTCCTACCGAAGAAATGGCTCGAGTTATTGTTAAATAATGGGTTTTCATTTTTTCGGGGTTTCCAATATAGTGGTATAAGTATGGCGCCCTTGTATTGCTTCTGGACATAAATGTAACTTCAAATTAACTTCTCCCCATAGCACGTCACACACAGTTTTTTAATCTGTTTTTTGACGTAAATAGATAAGAGTAGAAGAAAGAAAGAAACAAACACAAAAATTTAATCTAATTTCTTTTCCCGCTCGTTGAAAACTCACTGAACGCGTGAAATTAACCGCATGTTAAAAGAGGAGAAATCTTCTCTACTGTATGAAACGTGTCTAACGTAAACGAAGTGGACATTTGGACGCACATCATTTCCATATATGAGTGACCCAAATTGGGAACATTGCTGAACAAAAAAAAATACAAATGCCACATTTTAAATTGTTTAATTTTTTTTACCATCCATACATCTGCGCAACAGTCATTTTTTTATTCGAGGGAAGAGACTTATGATTTTAGATATTATTTCAGGGTCAAAAAATAGTAAGAAACTGTGTTGACATAGGGGGGAGAACGATCTATTCTGGCGACTGTTTTCGCCCTTTCCCTTCTCTCCTTGGGCGTTCCCAATACGTTCCTTCACCTGGCTTTTTTAAACTATAATAGTTGATAAGATGAATGTTGCATTTTGAAGGAAAGTGTGCGTGCACGCGCCGGCCCTCAGCGTCGCGTGCGGTGCACTTCTCTGAATTGAAATGCAG